ACACCTTTCTTTGCAATGCTTTCTCATTGATGAATGTTCTGCAGTAGTATAGAAGGATCTCTGCACCTTTGACCGCAGTCCTAAAAAGGCGACCACAAGCTGTTGGGTATAGATATTGAGCAATGGTATGAAAATGGGAGTTTCTCCTACCCAAGATAGAACGCAAAAGTAACTCATGCTGTTTAATTTTCGGAAGGCCAGATCTTCTGGGTATCGTCGTGCCTACAGGTCTCAGTTCATCAAGCTGCTTTTCAGACAAAAGACCTTTGTAGAGGAGAATTGTAGTCAACTAACCCTCTACGGTCTCTGTCCGACCTTTGTGATTCACGGATTTTGAGAACTTTCTACGATCTGCTTAGAAAAATTATAGTTCCGCGACATAATTATTCTCATCCATCAGTACTATTCCGGACCCTTTGTCTGGTCTGGTCAGCACGATATTTTCATTTCATCGGAGTTCCCTGTGGCTATCAAGATGGGCCTTTTTTCAAAGACTTTTTTGTTGAAGACTGTATTAAGTACTGTTGGCAGCTGAACTCAAGCCAACGCTGGTCAGCTGCCTTCTCTGCAGCCATAAAGCTGCAATTTCATCTAAAAGGATGCAATTTGCTGCTGAATGTTGTTAAAGGTAATAACCTATTGAGAAGACAAATTCGATTATTTTAAATTTGAATATTGGTTAGATAATTCTAGATAATTATGTTTTGGACAGCAACGTGGGCAAATATGCTGGTAGGGATTGCTTATATGGCCCCCCAAATGTAGACGGGACATGGTGAGGGGATAGAGGGGGGGGAGGTAGTAGACACACTATGCCGGTTCATGTAGGTTCATGTTCATGAAAGATTATGGGACTTGGTTAAAGAGGTGGAGAGGACAGAGTAGCAGTCAGTCATAAGGGGGGGGAGGCGAGGAGGCATGAGAGAGAACAAGTTTATAGATAATTACCACCACAATGCGAGGTTGATCGCATGGTCTAGCTGCTTACAGAATCTTGGTTTTCTTCTCTTTACTGCAGCGGCCCACGCAAATCGTAGGAGACACCCGGTTGTCGCCCGAAGTACGACCTTAA